TATAAATATATAAATATATCTCCACCGATAAGACAGAAAAGTGAGATGTCCTAAATTTACTTACAATCCAGGGGATGCAGGAGAGGGGATTGTTGAAGAATCAGTTCAGCCAACAATTTTGGGCCAACCCACCCAAATGAGGGAGCAAAATCCACCCCACCTCCTACGCGCCTGTTGAGATCCTGGACCCCAGGGCAGGGAGCACCAGGCATAACTACACTTTGCTTAGAACCCTAACTAACCCATCAAAGAAAACCGAGTAGCTTTTCTTATGCTCTGTCCTCCTAACCTCAAGCTTGGCCTGCTTTTTCTGGGTCCACCCCTCCTACTTCTAGGCAAGGTGTGCTTGCTGCAAGCGATTTATGCTTTCTTTCCTCTGAATTTCCCTTGTAGCACGCTGTGGCTTCCCAAATTTGCTGTGTATCTTTTCAGACACTGCCAAGCCACACCGGCGGCTTGGGGACTGTGTCCCAGGTCTGGTTCTTTCTTCCTGGCTAGAATTTGCCACATATCTTTTTATTTCAGGGTTCTCTTGGTCTTTTGAAGTTTGATTTTGTCGCAGCCATGCAAAATTGCTTCCTTTAGTAGTAGATTAAAATAAAAACTTCTTACAATAGCGATAGTAATGGCTAAGAGTTCAATAGTTACGTGGTTTGGAAAATTACCCTTGGTGCCAGTAGAGAATATTACCTGACCTGCTAACTCAGATTTTAACTTTAAGATTATATTATGTGAGAATAAACCAATACATTTATTTTAATGACCAACATTCCTAAGAAAGCAAGGTAATAGATAGGCATTCTCATTAGACTTTTATATTTTAATCAAACATTTGTTAATTTATGAAAACAACCTATGTTTCTCTTGGGGGGACTTTTCCAAATACACCTTCATCTATTCCTTTATTGAAATTTCCTAAATCATAAAATGCGGGAGGAAGGGAAACAATTCAGACCATGCTTTTATTCCCTTCTTAAATTCTTCTATCATAAAATTCTGCTGGATTTATTTGAACATACTTAAGGGTTTACTATTTGCCAAGCATACAATAAGACTTTTACACCAAGGGATTAATTGAAACCTCTCTTTGAATTCATAGCATAGATACAGTTACATTTATTGTTGTTCAGGTGGGCTCCTAAGCAATTTGTTCCTGGTGTACTAATTTAATTAATGTTTGCTGAGGCAGCTATCTCCCAGGCTGCACAGTGGGCACTCTGGACACAGAGTGCTTCTGTGGACGTTGTTAACTCCTGAGGCATAAACCTGAGTAGCTCCGGTGCCTATCATTAGCTCTCAGCCCCTCACCGGCAGGCTGGATCATCTTCACTGTGGAGTTTGTCCTTCTTTCCAAAGGTCAAACAGGAGTCTTTTGTGTGTTGCCAAATAGGTCAGGGTCCAAAATGTCAAACTCCACATTTCTGAGAGGCTTTGCACATTCTTTTAGTGAAGACAGTGGGGACTTTCTGCAGTACAGGATCACCTGATCTCTGCATGATAATTAATTAATATATTACGGATGCTGATTACTTCTTGATGAATATAATATTGTGATTGTACAGGGTGTAACCATGGAGCAGGACAAAGGTGACTGAAGGGACCAGGTATCTGTGATGGGAGATCCTCATGCCAGTTTCCATACTAGGAAAAGCCTTTCTGCAAGAAGCAAACCTCAGAACACCTTGGTTGTTTTCTCAGCTAGGCAGGACATGCATTTATGCTGTTAGCAATTGCCTCTGAGTACACTTTTCTTGGCTTTTATGCCTATCTCTTTCATCCCATTCTGGTAGACATTTTCTTCTTTCAGCCACAGTCATATTTTCAATCACATCATATTAAAATCTTTTAAAATCCTCTTTTAAGGTGCTTTTTAATAACCACTCAAATATCCTGCCTGGTGAACAAGTATGTCACCCCAGAGAAAATAATGCTTCTTATTTTGTGTAAGAGTTTTATGTTGATTTGTGTTTGGCAGGGGTCCTTAGAATATTGAAATAATAAAAGAATTATCAGGAATTCAAATGTAGGGGCTCTTAGAGGATATAAGTTCCTGGGGACAAGGAAAGAGGAACTTCAAAACTCTCTCTATATTTATTATCTACAGCACAATGGACTCAGATGGAATTTCCAAAATGGAAATATCTGAGTAAGTTCTGAGATGGAACCAAAGTGTAGGCAAGCTCAACTGTGAGTCCATAGCTACCCTCACGTTCCCTGGTAATTTTTCTTCTTCACAGCCTACAAGGAATCCATTGATGTCAGGGATAAGAAGTAACTTTCCTCCTCTTCAGGTGAATATAAACAAATGCGACAAATAGCAGCGAGAATAGTACCTTATAGTTGCACCGAAGTCATAGTGGAATTGAGAAGGAAATTTTTTCCGAAGTAACCAGTTTTCTTTGCTCCTGAGAGCATTTCTTTGGGGTAGAAAGGAAAATTATACTGCACCCATTTTAGTAGTGAAGTAACTGAGGCTTTGGGAAGTTCCTGGTGTGTTGCTGAACTCACAATTCCTTCGAAGTGGGACTTGGCCCAGTGCTTTTTCAGCAGAGGGAGCAGAGTCCGCT